GGCAACACCAAGACGCGCATCATTGCGACCTTGTCGCCGTCCATCGACTGCATCGAAGAGTCCATTGCGACGCTTAAATTTGCCGACCGCGCCAAGCAAGTATGCCCCTATTCGTTGTCCTTCACAAAAATGTAGGCCCGTTGCTAGGTCATGGTGTCGGTGCGCGTGAACGAGCAACGGGTGATCGACCCGGCGTATGTCGAGAAGCTCGAGGCTGAAGTGGTTGAGCTGCGGAGCGTCATCTCAAGTCTCGAAGGCGGCAACTCGCCAAACCAAGTTGACTCGCAGCTCGTGCGTCTTCTCCAAGAGAACAACGACCTCAAGGCACAGACAGCCAAGCTTCGACGGGAGCTCGACGCCCGAAGCGGCCCCGAGTCGCTTGCCAGCACGAACAACAACAGCAATGCCAACAACAATGCGACCATGGAGCCAAGCGACGACAGGACCAAGCAGCTTCTGGCCCAGAACCAAGTAGGCTCAGCATCCCCACATAAGCAACGTAGGAAGACGTGTTGTAGCACATGGAAGGCGTGCTGAGCCGGCTAAAGGACGCCACGGACCGCTTCTTCAAGTTTGAAATCGAGGAAGACGACCTCAAAACCATTCTCGAGACGTCGTTTCGTTCGCTTGGCACCAATAAGGCCGCCGTCTCAGGTCGCCCGCCCGCCCTTACGACGGCGACTACAAGCACCTTTGCTCGCCTTCGCACCAAATGTACTCTGCAAAAAACGAGCAATATGGACACCAACGTTGTTCTGTAGCGGCAGCGACAGTGCTGAAAACAGCACCGGACGTTGCGTTTCGCGTACGAGGCAAACCGTCGTCGAGCGAGAACGAGAGTACGTGGCAGACGGACGCACCACCGCGCGTCTCGGAGGAGGACGAGATCAAGGCGGCCGAGAAGGCGCTGAAGAAGCAGGCCAAGATCCAAGCCTGGCTCCTCGAGAAGGAGCGTCGGGAAATGACCAAACTCCAGCAGCAGCAAGAGTACATTGACGAACAGCGACGCGCCCAGGCTGAGAAAGACGCCAAGTTTTACAAGCGCGCCATGGAGACCAAGAAGAAACTCTCGAGGTATGGAGAGGATACCGAGTCTCATGTATTCAAGCGTTGGCGTGTTAGTGCCGTCCCCGAGGCGTCGACGACCTAGTTACTTGCCATAAACTGTCAAGGCATCCGTATTCACCATAAGGTTGCTGCGCCTGTTGCTTTATCGCACCTGGGCGACCTTGAGTCTGTCTCGACGACAGTCCCGGTAAAAAGACCGCCAGGAAATACAGCAGTGAATGGTTCTAAATCTTTGGGATGACGCCATACTGAGCGCCACGATGATTGCATTTTTTTTACAAGACACTTATCAGCATCGAAACCAAATGCACTAGTTTCACGTCGTCAATGGATGGAAATCAAACCTAGATACAACACTAATACATATTGTATAACACTATCTTAAGCCCAAAGGGATTGTCGATCCAACAACAAGGTTCCTGTGGAGGGGGCTGGCAGGAATGCATAAATGACCGTTGCTAAATGAATTGCAGCGGACAAGACACGAAGCTCTGCAAGATAAACATACAACGAGTTGAGTTGTCACAAAAAGGTCATTCAATTACTACATCCAAACAAATATGAGTAATCCGTCCATCGCGTGTCCTCTTCAGACAACGATGCTGAAGTCAAGCGGCGTGAGCGTCGACAGCCACGTCATGTCGCTGTCGCTGCCGTCCAGCAGGTCCGCGCATACCGCCCAGTCGGCCGCGTCCACGCTCATGTCCTTGTCCTCGTGCTTGATTGCATCCGACCCAAAGAGGTCTTCGAGGAGATCGAGTGACGGCAGCTCCATCACCGAGAGACTCTCGACCATCATCATTGGCGACATGGACGGCGACGATGACCGCGACGACGCCGGCGACCCCTCGCGCTTGCGGGCGATCGGCGTCGTTTCGAGTGTTGAGCTGCGGTTGAACTCGGGGTGGCTGAACGTGCACACGTGCGACTGCGTCTTGGTCCACTTGCGGAAACCAAAGTAGTTGAGCTGGCGCTGGAAGCTCGCGAGTTTGTGTGTTTAAAGTACTTGGGGAGGACCTCGTTCTCGAGGCGCGTGACGCTGTTGAGCTGGATGGCGGCGCCGTCGGCCGACCACGAGATGATGCTGGGGTCTTCGGTGGTGAGAATCGAGTAGAGGTGGCGAAGGAACTTGGGCACGCCGGTGGTGCGGGTCTTCTTGGAGGTCGTCATGGTTGTTATAGAGGTTGTTGTTGGTGGTGTTGCTGGTGAGAGGCAATTGT